GGCAATATCCAAGCACCAAGAACCAGTCCGAATGCGAGGAGTTTACAACTAACCTGTGGAAGGCTGTGACAAGATTTACGTAGGTGAAACAGCCAGAAACCTCGACCCCGACCTCAATGAACACAATTACGCATGTAGACGATAAACCTGAACAACGCCTGTGTTACAACACCGAATTCCTCCAATCATTCATGAATTCAAGACGCCCAATTAAGTGATCAAAGAAAACTAGATGTCCGCAGACGCAAGTGCCTCGAATCAGCACTGATCCTGTTTCGGAATACAATTAAACAAAACAAACGGGCAGCTTCACATCTCCGAATTCTTAGCAAAAATTCCTCCTGAAAACAGTAAACCCCTGCCAATCACATATTCTCTATCTCCTGTTCTACACACAAAGCACAAGAGTGAACACTGAAACAAAGCCCACCTCATTCCAGTTTATAATATTGTCCAACCTATTTTTTATGTTACCCAAGTAATAGCTTTTATATCCTTTTACTCATGACGAATTAATGCTCTTACTTTTGTTCACTACTATTACTACTACTACCACAGTGAACAACGAAATGGTACCTCACTAGAATTCCCCTCACATCTGAACCTTTATATACCCACTGTGTCCTTATTGTTTGTAATTGCATTGATAAAGCTCCTGGAGAGCGAAAACGTTTGCCCACAATAAATGCACCTTAGTTGCACTTGTGTCCATTTACTTGACATTAAGTCTATCTTCATACGGAGTTCCTTACACAGTAAATCATTTTAGTCATTCATCCTCTGTATGTTCTCTAAAGAGTCTATGTCCATTCCTGTAGTAAGGTGACCAAAACTAAGCAGCCTAAACCAAGAATGAGGGGCCTCACTAGTGATGTTATAGACTGTAAAATAACTTTTGGACTTCGGTTACTATCTTCTTGAGATAGAATCCAATAATCTGTTGGCCTTGTTGCGCACACTGAGTCACTGCTGTCTTGGCATTAGATTTCCATGACCTCCCAAGTCTTTTCAACATTCTGTATGACCAAGCTCAACTTCACCAGATATAGCTTCGAGGGTTTATTTTCATTACAAGGGCAAGTACCTTACACTTACCCACATTAAACTTCATCTGCCATTTCTCAGACCAAACATTAATTTGTTCAAAGCGTCCTGGAGTTCATTGATATCCTCCTCAGAGTGAATTATACGGCCTATCTTTGTATCATCAGCAAACTTACTCCATGTCACTATAATCCCCTTCAACACGGTCAGTAATGTAAATTATGAACAAGATGGCCTAAAACTGATCCTTGTGGAACGCCACTATGACTAATCCCCCATTTCAGATTTCACTCCATTAATGGTAACTCTCTCATCTAATGGTAAGCCATGCTCAATCCATGCTAGACTTTTACCTTCCTATCCCATGAGCTGCCACTTTTCCTTAATATCTCTTTGAGTTACTCTGTCGAAGGCTTTTACTAAATCCCAAATAAACAATACATATTCCTTATCACTGTCAACTGCTTGCCAATTTCTATTGAAGAACGTCAGTAAGATTTTGTCAGGCAGGAACTCATCTCGTGAATCCATGCTGAGATTCATTTTATCAAGTTTATGCTCTGCAAGTGAACATCTTATAATGTCAGCATAATTGATTCTAATAATCTGCCCACTATAGATGTCAGGCTTATTGACGGTAATTTGAAGGAGTGGAAACTTAACCTGATTTGAATATAGGAACCGACATTAGCCATCTTTCCACATCTCTGGCACAACACTGGGTAAGGATGGACGCATTGTAATTCCCCCACATTCGTAAAGGCTGTCCTAAGCTCCATCTTGCATTCCTTAAGTACCCTTGACAACACTCATCGGGTCCCGGGACTTATTTTGGTTTTCAGTTTGTCTATCTGTATAATACCAAGGTCCTCGTGACAGTAAAATTATTAACTTAAATTCATCAGGAACTAAATAATTGTTAATTATTGGAATTCATTTACATCTTCCTGTGTAAAAAACTGACAAAAATAGTCCCATTAAATAAGGAACACATTTCCAGTTCCTTATCCGACAGCTTGTCCCTCATTCCCAGCTTTCAGAGGTCCTACTTTTTCCTTCACCTTCGTCCTATACACGGAAAGAAACCCTTTGGAATTACTTGATTCATTACAACTCTAATTTCATAGTCACTTTTAGCCTTTCTAATCGTGCCTTTTTTTACTTCACTTTTAAGCTGAACATATTGGTCAGTAAGGTTAACCTCTCCTCTTCTGATGCGGCCTATACTTTCCCAAATTTCCCTTTTCATCCCCATAATGGATGCTTTAGCCTCCAGGTAACCCATTTGAGAATCGTTAATTTTTAGGACACAATTTCTCTCTTGGGAATGTATAAACTCTGGGCACTGTGTACATTATTAAGAAAACAATCATAAAAGCAGATCCTTATCATAAACATAAGTATGATTATCGTCATAAAAATCATTAGCTGATAACCCCAATCAAAGATAGACAGATGTTACCCTAAGTCCATTATAATCGGCAGAACGAAAATCGGGGATTTTTACTGTATTATCATTATTCTTGCATTCCCAATTAATGCTAAAGGTGATGGATTTGTGAATCACATTGCCCAAGCACTTCATGATCTCCAATTTTCACGAGTGTTTCCTTATTTTGACAAGACTAGGTCTAGCAATTATTACCCATGTAGGTTCAGTACACTCTGTTACAGAAAAACAGTCCTGATCGTTTCCATGAAGTCACTGGACTCTAGATTACGTGTCAAAGAAATTCCAGGTCAATTTTGCTAAAGTTAAAGTCCCCTCTTATGACTACGTTACTGTGTCCAGAAGCCCTAACACTTTCGTCCAAGAAAGTCCCCTCTACGTGATCCAAGTCCTGGAGGTCGGTATAATTATCCACCTAGAATTAGTTTTTCTTGACCCTTCCACGAAACTCTACCCAAACAGACTCTGTTTACTGCTCCATCTATTTTTATACCAGATTTTATGCAACATTAATATTTCTTCGAACATACAATGCAAACTCCTCCCTCCCTTCCCATTACATCTATACAAATTGAATAACTTATAATCCTGAATTATTACTCTCAGCCGTCATATCCCGACTCTTTAAATCATACCACCGTTTCAGTTAATTGCAATGATATCAAAGTTCCCAGCCCATGCTATACCAAACGTAGTTCATTAAATTTTATTTCTTTGCACTTCGACTGTTATCATAAACGACCATCATTATGTTTTATCTTTCTGCACATTTTTTCCCCTATTCATACTTTTGTTTTTTAACAACAATTTCTGAAATAATCCATTACCCAGAGTTACTCCGATGACAGTATACTATTAAGATTCTTAATAATCAGGAGCATAAGTCATATATCCATACTCATTATTAATCATTACTAAACCCATAACCTCGAACTAATCCGCTATATTAAAGCATAACAACCCCCCACTGAGTTATGCAAGAAACCCCACACCTGGCCCCTGGATAAGTGAACCCCATCCCTGGCATACAAGTCATTTTCGGCCATATAAGTTGTCCCACAGTTTCAAAGAATGGTCTTGACATTATCCTTCAGTGTTTTAACCAGCCAACAATTAATACCAATTGCTCTGGACAACTTCATTACCAACACCTCTTCATTGCAAAATGCCACATATAACATGGCGCACCCCCCTTCTCCTAATCATGTCTATAGCTGTCCTGAACTTCTAAAACTAAATCCTCACTTCTATTAAACGCTTGCCTACATCATTGCCTCCAGCACTGAGGCAAATAATAGGATATGATCCCATAACCGTTCATGATGTTTGTCAAGCCGGCTAACAATGTCCACCATCCCATGCCCCAGGACAGCATACCCTTTGTCTCCTACTACCTGTCCATCAAGCAGAATGGCCCTAATCCATGAATCTAACCTGGCTATCCCAACAACAACAATATTCTTACCTTCCTTTGTTGTCGTTCGTCGTGACGATCCCAGGTATTAGACTCACATTCGTCGGGTAGCACCGAGAATGCGTTGGAGTATTCACGGAGTTCCACAGCATCTCTTTCTTCTTCATCGTTTCTGGCTTTCCATTCGTCTTCTTGATCGTCAACTTCGTCGTCCGCCTGCTGTCCCAGCCACAGAATCACGATCCCTCTTGACCGAGGACTCGAAACAGGAGGACAACTACGAATCCTCGTTTTCCTCGGTCAAAGTCGCCGTATATCCCATCTTCGCTGCCCCAATTCTTCCTTAAGTTGCTGGTAAAAGTTTGCTCGATGAGGGCAACTTGTTCAGTCAACGGGAGGCAAACAAGACACTTTCTTCACAGAGTTAAGTATAGGTCAGCACTCAAAGTACAGGTCACCACTCAAAGTACAGGTCACCACTCAAAGTACAGGTCACACTCAAGAGCACACCAAACAGGTCTTTCCCAGAGCTAAGTACACGTCACCCACAGGGGCTAAATACACGTCAACCACTGTATATATGTGATCCCTTTTCGACAACGTTTCGCCACACAGTGGGGCTTTTTTCAAGTCATAAACAGATCTGTTGAAACATTGTTCCAGACTAGCAATAGACAGCTGTTGTGGATTGCATCCTAAGAAGTGGTAACATCTTGGATAGGACCGAGTCTTGAAATGAGTTGAGACAGGATACAGTGTATTGGCCTTTATGTTGAACTGTGTAAAAAATAATACATCTTATTTAAATGTGACAGACAAAATGTGTCCGACAAAACTAACAGCTTATTCTTTATTTAAATTATTACGTGTCACCAAAATAAATTCATTGTGAATTTTTGTACCTGTTATTTAAACGAAATATAATTCCTGAGATGTTTCCTTATACCATATCAACTCATTAACCTGTCATCTGTATAACTCAAATTATAACTTTTACTTCAGGTTGGTCACAACTTTAAGATTTTTTTTTATTCAGGCTTTCAATCCATGTTTATAAACAGTATTTTCATAGTAAATAATTTGTCCTTACAGACACACACAGAGCAGTCAGGAGATCATGGCTGGGTAGAACTATATGATGCTCCTATATTCTCTGAGGATGGGCAGAGCTACCTGCTGAGACTACCAGTGCGTGACGGCGAGGAGGGAGAGTTCAAGCATGTCAACATATACAGCGTGCGCATGCGTCGCGTCATTCCCATCACACACGGGGCTTTTGAGGTCACAGAGATCCTGGGTTGGGACCAGAACAACAATTACATGTAAGTGATGACCATTTCAACTTGCAGGAAGAAAACATAAAGTATTGAATTGGTTAACTTAGGTTAGGTAAGGTTTGTCAGGACACAGGACAAATGTTTCCTGATGGAAGCTTTTTGTCATTGGCAGAGGCCTTCCACTGGCTTATAAGTCCACCTCTTTAAAAATTATTCTTATTATTCCCCTCAAGGGAGGTTCCTTAATGCTGGTGAGGGGCTCATGATCTAGGGAATTGGATTTGTGTGCTCTAGTTCCCTGAATTAAGCCTTAATACCTTCCATCCCCCCCCAGGCGCTGTATAGCCCCTACGGGTTTAGCGCTCCCCATAATAATACTCTTATTATTACAACCATTAGGTAGTAAGTAATTTGATTGGTTAACAATACACAAATAACCCGCACACAGAAAAGCTTACGACGACATTTTAGTGAGACTTGGACCATTTACAAAGTCTCTCATGTGCGGGTTATTCATGTATTGTTCCAGTCACGGTATTGTGTATTTTTGTTCTTCATTGGTTAACTTTTTACTGAGACTTGCAGATATACCCTATATTTAACTGATATAAATGAGAAGTATGCATTATGCACGTATAAAACATGCGTAAATAAATGGGGAATATATAGTTTATCTGAAAATAAGAGTTACACTTGAAGTGTTTGTTTAGTTAAAGCAAATATAATCTCTACGTTATGAAAGTGGATAAATAAAATGAAGGACATTGAGACATAAGAAACTGTTAAGAGAGAGGTTGGTGGAGGGTGATTGTTGGAGGATGGTTGTTGGTGGGTGGTTGTTGGAGGATGGTTGTTGGTGGGTGATTAGTTGGAGGATGGTTGTTGGTGGGTGATAGTTGGAGGATGGTTGTTTTGGGGGGTGATTGTTGGAGGATGGTTGTTGGAGGATGGTTGTTGGTGGGTGGTTGTTGGTGGGTGGTTGTTGGAGGATGGTTGTTGGTGGCTGATTGTTGGAGAATGGTTGTTGGTGGGTGATAAATTTGGAGGATGGTTTTTTGGTGGGTGATTGTTGAGGATGGTTGTTGGAGGATGGTTGTTGGGGGGGTGGTTGTTGGTGGGTGGGTTTTTGGAGGATGGTTGTTGGTGGCTGATTGTTGGAGAATGGTTTTGGTGGGTGATGTTGGAGGATGGTTGTTGGTGGGTGATAGTTGGAGGATGGTTGTTGGTGGGTTTATTGTTGGGGGATGGTTGTTGGTGGGTGGTTGTTGGAGGATGGTTGTTGGTGGGTGGTTGTTGGTGAGTGGTTGTTGGGGGGTGGTTGTTGGAGGTGGGTTTTTGGTGGGTGGTTGTTGGAGGATGGTTGTTGGAGGGTGGTTGTTGGTGGGTGGTTGTTGGTGGGTGGTTGTTGGTGGGTGGTTGTTGGAGGATGGTTGTTGGTGGGTGGTTGTTGGAGGTGGTTGTTGGAGGATGGTTGTTGGTGGGTGGTTGTTGGAGGATGGTTGTTGGTGGGTGTTGTTGGTGAGTGGTTGTTGGGGGGTGGTTGTTGGAGGATGGTTGTTGGTGGGTGGTTGTTGGAGGATGGTTTGTTGGAGGTGGTTTTTTGGGGGGTGGTTGTTGGAGGTGGTTGTGGTGGGGGGGTTGTTGGGGGATGGTTGTTGGTGGGTGGTTGTTGGAGGATGGTTGTTGGTGGGTGGGTTTTTGGAGATGGTTGTTGGTGGTGATTGTTGGAGGATGGTTGTTGGTGGGTGGTTTTGGGAGGGGGTTGTTGGTGGGTGATTGTTGGAGGATGGTTGTTGGTGGGTGATTGTTGGAGGATGGGTTTTTGGAGGATGGTTGTTGGTGGGGGATTGTTGGAGGATGGTTGTTGGCGGGGGGTTGTTGGAGGATGGTTTTTGTGGGTGGTTTTTTGGAGGATGGTTGTTGGTGGGTGATTCTTGGATGATGGTTGTTGGAGGATGGTTGTTGGGGGGTGATTGTTGGTGGGGGATTGTTGGAGAATGGTTGTTGTGGGTGATAGTTGGAGGATGGTTGTTGGTGGGTGATTGTTGGAGGGTGGTTGTTAGTGGGTGACTGTTGGAGGATGGTTTGTTGGTGGGCGATTGTTGGAGGATGGTTTTGTTTGGATGGTTGTTGGTGGATGGTTGTTGGTGGGTGGTTGTTGGAGTGGTTTGTTGGTGGGTGGTTGTTTTGGGGGGTGGTTGTTAGTGGGTGGTTGGTGGTGGGGGTTGTTTGGGGGATGGGGTTGGAGGTGTTGGGGTGGGTTGTTGGAGGGTGGTTGTTGGAGGATGATTTTTGGGGGTGGTTGTTGGTGGGTGATTGTCGGTGGGTGGTTGTTGGAGGGTGGTTGTTGGTGGGTGGTTTGGTGGGGGTTGTTGGAGGGGGGGGTGTTGGAGAGTGGTTTGTTGGTGGGGGGTTGTTGGTGGGGGGTTTTTTGGGGTGGTTGTGGAGGGGTTGTTTGGGTGTTGTTGAGGGTGGGTTGTTGGAGAGTGGTTGGTGGGTGGTTGTTGAGGTGGTTGTGGAGGGTGGTTGTTGGAGTGGGTTTGGGGGGTGGTGGTTTGTTGGAGAGTGGTTGTGGAAAGGGTGGTTGTAGGAGGGTGGTTGTTGGAGGGTGGTTTTTGGAGGGTGCTTGTGGGGGGTGGTTGTTGGTGAGTGGTTGTTGGAGAGAGGTTGTGGGAGGGGGGGGTTTTTTGGTGAGGGGTTTGTTGGAGAGTGGTTGTGGGAGGGTGGTTGTTGGTGAGTGGTTGTTAGAGAGTGGTTGTGGGAGGGTGGTTGTTGGTGAGTGGTTGGAGAGTGGTTGTGGTAGGGTGGTTTTTGGTGAGTGGTTGTTGGAGGGTTGATTGTTGGTGGGTGGTTGTTGGAGGGTGATTTTTGGTGGGTGATTGTTGGTGGGTGGTTGTAGGAGGGTGGTTGTAGGAGAATGGTTGTTGAAGGGTGGTTTTTGGAGGGTGGTTTTGGGTTGGTTATTGAAGGGTGGTTGTTGGTGGGTGGTAGGAGGGTGGTTGTTGGAGGGTGATTGTTGATGGGTGGTTTTTTGCAATGGTTGTGGATGGTTGTTGGTGATTGGTTGTGGGAGGGTGGTTGTTGGAGGGTGGTTGTTCGTGAGTGGTTGTTGGAGGGAGATTGGAGGGTGATTGTTGGTGGGTGGTTGTAGGAGGGTGGTTGTAGGAGAATGGTTGTTGAAGAGTGGTTTTTGGAGGGTGGCTGAAGGAGGTTGGTTATTGGAGGGTGGTTGTTGGTGGGTAGTTGTTGGATAGTGGTTGTAGGAGGGTGGTTGTTGCAGAGTGGTTGTGGGAGGGTGGTTGTTGGTGAGTGGATGTTGGTGGGTTAGTTTTTGGAGGGAGGTTGGAGGGTGATTGTTGGTGGGTGGTTGTAGGAGGGTGGTTGTTGGAGGGTGGTTGGTGAGTGGTTGTTGGAGAGGGGTTGAGGGAGGGTGGTTGTTTGTGAGTGGTTGTTGGAGAGTGGTTGTGGGAGGGTGGTTGTTGGAGAGTGGTTGTTGGTGGGTGGTTGTGGGAGGGAGGTTGGAGGGTGATTGTTGGTGGGTGGTCGTAGGAGGGTGGTTGTGGAGGGTGGTTGTTGGAGGGTGCTTGTGGGGAGGGTGGTTGTTGGCGAGTGGTTGTTGGAGAGTGGTTGTGGGAGGGTGGTTTTTGGTGAGTGGTTGTTGGAGAGTGGTTGTTGGAGAGTGGTTGTTGGAGAGTGGTTGTGTGGAGGGTGGTTGTTGGAGGGTGCTTGTGGGAGGGTGGTTGTTGGTGAGTGGTTGTTGGAGAGTGGTTGTGGGAGAGTGGTTTTTGGTGAGTGGTTGTTGGAGAGTGGTTGTGGGAGGGTGGTTGTGGTGGGTGGTTGTTGGAGAGTGGTTGTGGGAGGGTGGTTGTTGGCGAGTGGTTGTTGGAGAGTGGTTGTGGGAGGGTGGTTGTTGGTGGGTGGTTGTTGGAGAGTGGTTGTGGGAGGTGGATGTTGGTGAGTGATTGTTGAAGAGTGGTTGTGGGAGGGTGGTTATTGGTGAGTGGTTGTTGGAGAGTGGTTGTCGGGAGGGTGGTTGTTTGTGAGTGGTTGTTGGTGAGTGGTTGTGGGGGGTGGTTGTTGGTGAGTGGTTGTTGGAGAGTGATTGTGGGAGGGTGGTTGTTGGTGAGTGGTTGTGGGAGGGTGGTTGTGGGAGGGTGGTTGTGGGAGGGTGGTTGTTGGAGGGTGGTTGTTGGTGGGTGGTTGTTGGAGATTGGTTGTGGGAGGGTGGTTGTTGGTGAGTGGTTTTTGGAGAGTGATTGTGGGAGGGTGGTTGTTGGTGAGTGGTTGTGGAGGGTGGTTGTGGGAGGGTGGTTGTGGGAGGGTGGTTGTTGGAGGGTGGTTGTTGGTGGGTGGTTGTTGGAGATTGGTTGTGGGAGGGTGGTTGTTGGTGAGTGGTTTTTGGACAGTGGTTGTGGAGATGGTTGTTGGTGAGTGGTTGTGGGAGGGTGGTTGTTGGAGGGTGGTTGTTGGAGAGTGGTTGGGGGAGGGTGGTTGTTGGAGAGTGGTTGTTGGAGGGTGATTGTTGGTGGGTGGTTGTAGGAGGGTGCTTGTGGGAGGGTGGTTGTTGGAGGGTGCTTGTGCGAGGGTGGTTGTTGGAGAGTGGTTGTGGGAGGGTGGTTTTTGGTGAGTGGTTTTTGGAGTGGTTGTGGGAGGGTGGTTGTTGGAGGGGGTTGTTGGTGGGTGGTTGTTGCAGAGTGGTTGTGGGAGGGTAGTTTTTGGTGAGTGGTTGTTGGAGAGTGGTTGTGGGAGGGTGGTTGTTGGTGAGTGGTTTTTGGAGAGTGGTTGTGGGAGGGTGGTTGTAGGAGAGTGGTTGTGGGAGGGTGGTTGTTGGAGGGTGGTTGTAGGTGGGTGGTTGTTGGAGGGAGGTTGGAGGGTGATTGTTGGTGGGTGGTTGTAGGAGGGTGGTTGTGGGAGGGTGGTTGTTGGAGGGTGCTTGTGGGAGGGTGGTTGTGGTGAGTGGTTGTTGGAGAGTGGTTGCGGGAGGGTGGTTTTTCGTGAGTGGTTGGTGGAGAGTGGTTGTGGGAGGGTGGTTGTTGGTGAGTGGT